CATGGCGCCGGTCAGCACAGGGATTGGAGTGCAGAGGCAAACCCGCGGAGAGGCTGGTGGGCGCCTCCGTCTGCCGATGGAAGACCAGGTGCTGCTGGGCCAGCAGGTTGGGCGGACCAGTCTTCAGGCGGAGGTGGGTCCATGCAAGCAGAAAACGAAAGGCGCCAGAGAGGATGTAAGGTGCCAGACGGTCTTGGCCATAGTTGCCAAAATGCGTCATGAAGAAGCTAACCTGAGTCAGGGTAAATGACAAGAGGAATTAAATAAGTGTGTATTATTATTAATAGTAGCAGTATTATTGTACTGTTTTATTGTATTTGTACTAATATCGTATTATTTACTGGTAGTATTCAGCATTGCTATTAGTAGTAGCATTATGAGTAGCGGCATTGTCATAAGTATTACTAAATTTACTAGAAGAGACAGTAATATTACTTGTAGTATTATTGGTTTTATTATCATTAGTATTGTTAGCGATAGTAACAGTCGCAGCAGTAGTATCACTGACTGACGCAGTTTTTTTTAGATATTAATCCTTGAGTGTAAGAATATAATTATATACGTCAGTTCAGTAAGGTAAGAATTTTATTTTCCTGACGCTTCAGCTTCTGTCGAGAATCCTTAATCGTTTCCTAAAAAATCCCTCGGAGTTTTTTCACCGTCTGCTAACGTTTTTTAAAACAACTATGTACAACCTCATGACTCAGGGCAATTTGCCTCCCCAACAAACTGAGATACCATTTTTCTGCTACCACGAAACGTATGTACAAATAGGAAACTCAAAGGCAATCTACCAACATAGCCCTCAATAAATTGATACTGATACTAATAGTTAATCGTACAATGGTGTAGGAAATGCGCAGTAAGCCGAGTCTATAAATCTGCTCCTCGGCCCCTTACGCATGTAGATCCTAGACTACGTGTTTGGTGCTTTACCGTGACTGAGAAGTCTCCCAGCAGACACATTTACCAGGGTCACCATCAGCCCAGTGTGTGCTGTGTGTTTAGTGGCTGCTGAGTGGAATGACAGTCAGACGAAGACAGCTCCTCTTAATCTCCTGGTTGTGTAAATCCACACAATGGCTAGCATACTACAGGCGGAAAAAAACTTTCGACAAATGCAAGGGAGACTGGAATGGTCGCTTTTGACTTATTAGCCGTCATCAGACAGCCTTACCTAACCCCAGGGGTGGA